AGCCTTTGGAAATAGGTTAAATATTTTTCTGTCCTTTTTTTTTTTAATTATTATCATTATAAAGAACTTTCCAGCTGACCTAGGATCACTAACCATGATGCAAATGGATTTAAATTTAGATGATGTCTTAAATATTCTTATAATTTAATCTTGCTTTAGCAGAAGGCATTATATTTGAATTTTTTAAAAAAATGTTAAACTAATACATCCTCAGCAATTACATTTTCTTTTATTTTCTTATTCAGCGACAATCTTGAATGTCTTCCACCATAAATCAAATGACACAGTTTAGAGTATTTTGGAGCCTATAAAATTGTTGCTAAGAGGGTCATGAATCCAGATTACAAACACTCACCTTCAAACTACAGGGCGAATTGATTATTTTAAAATATGACTTTGTTCTATAGATTGCTCAATAACCTATGACATGAATAACTGCCCAGTAAAAAATTGAGTGGAAGTGGGATTGAGTCATAACGATGTGTATGTGCGTGTGGAGTGTGGAAAAGAGTGATGTATTTATTGACTCTTAATGCTCTCTACCCTTCTGAAAACAGTAATGTAATCAAGATATTTTAGGCATAAGAAACTTTCCTCATAATGTTTTCATCTCTTACTCTTTTGAAGAGAGATTTTTAGCCTTTCTTCAATCATATTAAGTTTGATTAAGATAGGCAAAACAGTACAACTTTTAGAAACTTATAATATTGTAAGTTGATATAAAAATTGATGGAATAGACATAATTTTTTTCATTTATTTATTGAACTATATATAAATGTTTCCAAAAGCATTTTTTTGCTCTATTTTTTTTAGAGAGAAAGTTTTGCTATAGGGCACATGTGTTCACTGGAGAGACAGAGAGACAAGGAGCAAAAAATATCGCCCCCCCCCCACTGTGGGGGTGGGGGTGGGATGGCCAGGCCACAATCCCTTCTCCTCCATTTTCCTCTCTGGATCTTGGGCACGCATGCACATTCACCCGGCATGAGTTTTAGGCCATTGGCTCTGGGACTCGAACTGTGGTTGACTACATGGGAGTTCAGTGATGTAATCATTCTGCTATCCACTGGTCCCTTGTTTTTCATTCTTAAACCTTAGTATTACATTTTTTTTTTTTTTTTGGAGAGGTTTTTTTTGCTATAGGGCGCGTGCACTCGCCAGACAGACAGAGAGAGAAAGAAAGACAGAAAGCAAGAAATCACCCCCCAGGGGGATGGCCACGCCGCAATCCCTTCTCCTCCATTCTCCTCTCAGGATCTTGGGCACGCATGCACATGTGGCTGGCCTGAGTTTAAGCCACCGGGTCCGAGACGCGAACCGCGGTCGACTACGTGGGAGTCCAGTGACATAGCCATTACGCTAACTGCTGGTCCCGAACCTTAGTATTACATCTTAATTTTCAAGTTAGTGGTGATATTAGGCTTTCAACAATAAAAGTTTAAAAAATTGGAGTCCTCTATAAAAACAGTAAAGAATAATTTATAGAAACAGTGCATAATAAGAACATCTACTTTCACCTTTAGGCTCTCTGTTCTTCAGATTCACCAAACTTTAACCAAGGAATCTTTACCCTCAGGAATTGATTAATATAGAAATGTAGTCAGTTACATAGAAAACTATACCAAAAATATGAGTCCTTCCCTCTTTTTCATACTTACCTTTCATTTGTACATAGCCCTTTTGGTCATGTATTTTCTTTCCTCTCTTTTACTTACCCTTTCATACACGGTCAAGAGCCATAATATTAATCCATATAGCACATTTTCTAACACAGATATTATGCCCTTTTCAGGCACCATCTCTTCTCACATCAGACAAACTTGGCAGGTAATAGATAATGACCATTTTGTTCAGATAGGAAAGTGGGAGTAATTGTAGAGAATTTAAATTACGTGACGTCACATACTCAGCTTGTATTAGTGGAACTAGTATTGAACCCAGGTCTATCCAATACCAGAACCGTTGTTTTGTTTTGTTTTGTTTTGCCTTATGGTACGTTTACTCGCCAGAGAGAGACAGAGACAGTGAGAAGGAAAGTGAGAAGTCACCCCCTGGGAGGGATGGCCATGCTGCAATTCCTTCTCCTCTATTCTTCCTCCCAAGCGTACACATGTTCCCGGTGTGACTTTCAAGTCACTGGGTCCAGAACTCAAACCACCTTAGTCCATAAGTCTAGCAATGTAAGTGCTACCCCATCTGCTGTCCCCAACCCTTGCTTCCATGCTATCAATATGCCATGAACATCAGGAAAAGGTCCTATAATTAAGGTATCATTGTGTACCTCAGCACTATGCTAGTTCCATAATGCTATGTTCAAAACACAATAGAGCCACAACCAGAAGATGAAAAGACATCAGGAAGGTATTTTTATCTGTAGAACTCCTTTAAACACACACACACACACACACACACACACACACACACAGTGCCCAAGGAATGGAATGTTTAATTACCAATATTACTGGTATTGCAGATATTTCTTATTAGGATATATTGGGTTTAGGGAAAAGTCATGATGTATTTTAGAAAAAAATATGGCATAATGGTTATGTTGCTGGACTCTGACGTAGCTGACTACGGTTCGAATCCCAAACTTGGTAGCTTAAAACTCACGCCAGGGATGTGTTTGTTCGTGCCCAAGATCCTGAGAGGAAAATGGAGAAGGAGGGATTGCAGTGCGGCCATGCCCCCAAAGGGTAATTGCTCATTTTCTGTCTCTCTCTCTCTCTCCCTCTCTCTCTGTCTCTCCAGTGAGCACATGCACCCTATAGCAAAAAACCTTTCTCTAAAAAAAAGTCATGACTTTTTTGACAATCCAATATTAATGATATTATTATTATTACATATTGAAGTTTACAGTTAACACATTTTTCATATATTAATGTGTTATATGAATTTTACAACATTTCTGTGAGATAGAAATGTGAGATTGTTACTGTGTTTTGTAAGGGTTATGCTATTCCATTTTGGGGACATAACTAGGAAAATTGCAAAATGCCATTGCAATGTGTGTCTTTAGCCCTCCATATCCACAGTTCTGCAGCCAACCAAACGAGGATGCAGGAGGCCACACTAATTGTTATGAAATGGGGGAAGAGGTGGCTCTCTAAAAGAGAAAAGCTGAAGAAATTAATATATGGTTTTATGATCTGAATTACAAGTAACATGATATGAGCATAATATCTTGGGTATTTGATCTGGCAAGATTATTATTTCCATATGTTTGTAGGATATCAATTACTCATACAGACTTATGACCAGAAAAAGGGATGAAAAGATCATTTCAAATAATTTTAAGATTGTGATTAGACTCTGTAAACAAATGTCCAATTATCAGTCTACCACCATATTTTCATTTTGACCACATAATATATATAAACTAATGACTAATGATTAAATATTCTTTATAATACTCTTTAATATTACTCAAGAGTTAATTTATTGTACTCTGCAGGAAAGGACTTTTTCAATAGGATCATCAAGTAGATGAGAATAACTGGGTTAATATTCAGGATACTCATGCCCAGAATGTCCATTTTGTGTGCTGTAAAGATGTACAGTAATTAAATATAAAAATAAATAAGTATGTTATAAAAAGACTCATTAAGCTGTTACTGCAAAACCTTGGTATTAACAACTTCTAATGCTTCCAAGTTATGTTCCTGATAGCTAAAATATGTTTTCTAAAATTTTTAATGAAATCTTCTTTCATTATGGAGATATGAAAGTTAAATAAAGCATTTTGATATCATTCTGATACAGTACTGTTTTGAAACAGAAATGTGGATGAATATTTGAATTTTTGGTTGAATTTAAGCATGAGATCATTTCATAACTTGCCTCCTGGATTGTGTGTAAGGCATTGACTGAGCCTCCATAATTTATATTCACTTTTAAAGGATTTTATTGGATCTACTTCCTGACCTTACTTAAATTGGTAATTTAAATTCTATTTCTTTGAAATTCAGCAATGCATGCATGTTATAACTGAAGTTCAAGCTTCCATCCATAGAGGGGAAACACAGTTAGCAGATTCATGAATGCTGCTATTAAAAAAATAGAAGTTTTGAAGCTGTTTATTTGCATGTGCATGTTTTAAGAAAGTAAGATTTTCTGCTTTGATTGGTGTTGCATTTCATGACTTCCTGGTATGAAAAGCAACAATTCTGAAACAGTTAAGTTTTTACTTATTAAGGGCCTCTAATCAAAGGAGAGCTTCTTACTTTAAAAACAGAAAAATTGGCAGTAAAAGAGTAAGTCAAAATAAATTTTATGAATTTGTTCATTGTTTTTCCCCCTATGGAGAATGGCCTTGGTTTAAGTTTCAGTTGTTATTCTAGAATACATTTGCCATGAAATAACACTATCTGTACTATTAATACAACATATTTTCATTTAGAATACTTAAAATAGTTTCTGAAATATTTTAATATTTTAATCAGAAAAGCATTCATGTGGTGAGTAATGAATGCATGAGTTAAAAAAGAGTCACATTTTTAAAGTTTATTCTAGAAACACCTTTAGAAAGAGCAATCATTAAAAAGCTTGAAAAATTATAAATTAAAAAATAAAACAATGTTCTAATATTTATTTAAATTGAATGTAAATACATATAGTAGGTATAGAAAAGATCATTATTTGTACTTGATTTGAATAACATAAAATGTTTAGTTTTTTGTTTTTGCTATTTTATCAAACTGTGTATTTGAGTCATTTATGATAAGGAAACCCTTATGGATAAAATAATTGAGTCTTGACAAAAACTTGTATTAGAGGATGCAGATATTTTATCTGGTTCATATATGAGTGTACAAAAACATTTTCTAATAACATTTTTAACAGAAAATTAGAATCAAAATTTTCAATTTTGCTCTTTCTGTGGAAACTCTCGTAAGTAGATCTTTAACTACCCCAAGATATTAGCACATAAATATTACTTCAGCTCCAGGCTATAATTATTCCTAACATATCTAATTACCAATATTTTTTTCCTTTAAAGTCTCAAATATCTATCAGTGTAGAAGACTGGGAAGATACCAAAGACTCCAAAGAACAAGGGCACCACCGCAGCAACCACCGCAACTCCACCTCCAGTGACCAGTCAGACCATCCTTTGCTGCGGAGAAAGAGCATGCAGTGGGCCCGAAGACTGAGCAGGAAAGGTCCAAAACACTCTGGTAAAACAGCTGAAAAAATAACCCAGCAGCGACTGAACCTCTACAGGAGGTCAGAAAGACAAGAGCTTGCTGAACTTGTGAAAAATAGAATGAAACACTTGGGTCTTTCTACAGTGGGATATGGTATGCTCTTTAAAACTACTGTATATATGGACTTGTGATTTCTTGCCATTAGTAGTTAAATAGTTGGCTTTAATTTAGTAAAGAACTGCATTTTTGTTTCACAGGTTCATTTGTAGGCACTAGTGACACATATCTCCCGCAAAAAATTTAAGTGACAGTAGTAAAAATAAGATGCTCATTTTAAAAGCATTTATTTAGTCCTTTAGGTGCCATGCTGAACCCATTACACATGGTATATATCAATTTTAATTTTCACAAAAACTCTCTGAGGCAGACCCTCTGTCCTCATTTTAGAGATGAAGAAATTAAGTCAAATAATTTACTAATTAGCTTGTTAATATCAGAGCTGAGATTTACATCCAGGTCTCTCTGGTTCCAAAGCTTCCCTTAAATACTCACACACTCACATCTTATCCTAGGGATAAAATGAATTTGAAGTATTGATAAATAACTAATTGTACCAGCCATAGATAAAACGTTCTTGTAAAGTTTGTGTACTTTCTTATGGTCCAGAAAAAATAGTCTTCAAATGATTTAATTTTGAAGCTCAAATGATCGTAAAGCTTAGCTTTATCTCATGTAGTACGAATCTGCCTTAATAATTCTTAGTCTCCTTTTTTGATTTGTGATTGCCATATAGATCATTTATCAATATATACAGCTTAAACAAAAAATGCAAAGGTAACTTTAAAATGTGCCATTTATCACTGTATGGATTTTATTTTGAAAAGAAATTTGGCCAGTTTATAGAAAAAACAATAGATAAATAGGTGTTTTTTTATATGAAACTTGGGCTAACCAGGACTGAAGACAATGTCAATAGGATAAAATAAAATGTGATTAATATTTACTCTCATCTCATCCTTATTATTAAAAGTCTCAATTTGAGGCAGTGTTCATAGAGATAAAATTTAATTATTGAATTAGAGTTTAAGAGAAGTTATCTGTGTTTCTTTGAACAGAAAAAAAAAAAACTGAAAACTATTCTGTGCCAGGAACTACACTAGATGCTTTCTATATATTTTTTCATTACTCCTTATAACTCCTATTATGTAGGTGTTTCACATCACCCTTCAGGAATTTGACTTTTGGAGGTCGAGACCTTGCTCAAGGACACACACCTGAAATGTGTGGGAGTCAGGATTCCACCTGCAGTTAAAATTCATAACTATAGTTTAGTTACTAAAGGAGAATATGAACTCATCTGGGACCAGTAATTTTCATATAACTACATTTCATGTCTTACATTAAAATCAAATTAAATGAAAAAGGATCCTCATTCTAGAAATTCACTAATAGCTATCTGCCAACTTAATGACATTAAACATAAATATATTTCTTATAGGATTATAGTCCTATATGTATATGTACTTCTGTTAGGTATCATTCAGCTACTTTTTCTTTTATAAAAAGTTCTAGTAAATGCTTGCTCTTCCACGTTCCAGTTGTTTTTCATGAACATTGTAACCCTAGGCTGGTCCTGTAAGCAGTGTCGCAGATAACAGTTTGACTCTTAAGAGACCCAAAATGCAGGAGCTGGCTGCAATGGGAGCATCACCAGAGAACATATTAAGTTTTTGCTAATGAACCCTCTAACAGGTACCTTGCATTTAGTTATTCTCTATGGTTTATTTTTATTATATTTTGTTAATTTCATTTTCATATTCTTCTTATAGAAAGGAAGAACTGATTTTATCCATCTTTTTTTCCTCTCTCTTTTTTTGTTTCCTATCTCTCTCCATTCTATGAACCCATAAGTCCATTAGTTTATTCTAAAAGCACATAATGGGCACCTCTAATAACGTACCGATAATCAAAACAGAATCTAATGCATCATGGACTGTACACATGTGTTCCTAGTGTACATAATTCATCCATTCAACAGATATTTTTGGATGCCCTCTTAGTGCTGGGCACTGTTCTTGGCACTAGAAATAGAACTTCACATTTATAGAAATCAAATTCTAGCATCTATCAGTAGATATGTTGAATTGTCAAACTTCTCTGAGTCTATTTTCTTTCTTTTTTTAAATTAAAAATTTTAATTGACAGAGGCCAGAGGTGGCATGGTGTAAGGCACTGGATTCCACATGGCCAACTGCACAGTTTGAGTCCTGGATCCCGTGGCCTGAGGATCAGTCCAGGCACAAGTTCATGTGTACTCAAAATCCTGAGAGGAGAATGGAGAAGGGACTGAGGTGTGGCCATCCTCCCTGGGGAGTGATTCCTCATTTTCCCTACCTCTCTCTCTCTGAAAAAAAAAAAATTAATTGACATATAATTGTTATAGATGTTTATTATGTATAGTGTGGTTTTTTAGTATACATACCCAATGTGCAATGGTCAAATCAGGCAATAAATGTATCCATGATCCCAAATATTTATTGTTATTTTATACAGTGAACATTTAAAATTCTTTTTTCCAGCTATTTTGAAGTGTACATTGAATCGTCATCAACCATATTCTACTAGTCACAGTACTTCAGGACTCATTTTGCTCATCTACCTGCTCTCCTGTATCTGCTAACCAAATTCTTCCATCCCTCTTCCCTGCCTCTTCCTTGCTTCTGGTATCCACTGATCCACTGATGCACTTTCCACTTCTATGCAGTTGAAGTTTTGACTTAAAAATAAGACACACGATATTTGTGTTTTAGTTCCTGGCTTATTTTACTTACCATTATTTCCTGCCATTTTGTCTATGTAGCTATAAATGACAGAATTTTCTCCTTCTTAATGACTGACTAATATTTCATTGTGTATATATACCACACTTTATTCATTCATAGCTATGGTGAGTAATGCCCCAATAGATATGAGAATCTCTTCAACATATTGATTTCCATTTTTGGGGGTATATACCCAGTAGGATTACTAGATCATGAAATTGTCCTAATTTTGAAATTAATGAATAATTGGCATACTGTTTTCCATAATGGCTATACTAAATTACAGTCCCACCAACATCGTGTAAGAATTTTCTTTCTCCACAACCTTGCTGGCATTTGTTATCCTTTGAGCTTTTGGTTTTGGTGAGGTGGATAATAACCATTCTAGCTGGGGTGAGATAATATCTTATTGTAGTTTTCATTTCCCTGATGATTAGTGATGTTGATCTTTTTTTTTCATATATTTATTGGCCATTCATATGTCTTCTTTCAACAGATCTATTTTCTAATTGTTGGCTCATTTTTAAATTAAATTACTTGTTTGTTTTTCTGTGAGCTGCTTCAGTTCCTTGTATATTATGGTTAGTAGTCCCTTGTTGGATAATTAACTTGCAGATATTTTTCTCACTCTGTAAGTGGTCTCTTCACTTTGTTGATTGTTTCTATGCTGAGAAGAAGCCTTTTAGTTTTATTGAATTGCATTTGTCTCATGTTGTTCTTGTAGCCTGTGCTTTTGGGGGTCTTCTTTTAAAAAACCTTTACCCAAACCATTGTCCTGAACTGTTTCCCATGTTTTATTCTAATAATTTCATGGTTTGGAGGTTTAAGTCTTTAATCCATTTTTATTTATTTTTCGGTAAGATAGTGGTATAGTTTCTTTCTTTTGTATATTGTAATTGAGTTTTCCAAGAACCATTTATTAGCAGACTACTCTTTTCCCAATGAATGTTTTTGGGACTTTTGTCAAAAATCAGTTGGCATTACGTTTGTGTTTATTTCTGGATTTTCTATTCTCTTCTGTTTTTTTTTTTTAAGAATCATTTTTATTTAATTTTCTCTATTATTATCATTATTATTATTATTATTATTTCATTGTACCATAGAGAGACCGAGAGAGCGAGAAGGAAAGTGAGAAAGCAAGCCACCAGGTCCAGGACTAGAACCGCAGTCAGCCATATGGGAATCCAGTGCTTCAACCACCATTCCACCTGCTGCCCCCTCCATTCTGTTTTTCACTGTGTCTATTTTTGTGTCAGGACCATGTAGTTTGGTTTTGTATAGCTTTATGGTATTTTGAAGTCAGGTACTGTGATGCTTCCAGTGTTCTTTTTTCACAGGTTACCTTTTGCTATTTGGGGTCCTTTTTATATTCGTGCAAAAATGATTACCATTTTATCTATGTCTGTAAAGTATGCCATTCTTATTTTAATAGAGATTACGTTGAATCTGTAGATCACTTTGTATTATTGACATTGTAACAATATTGATTTCTTTCCATTCATGAACAAGGGATATCTTTCCATATTTTGTGTCTTTTTAACTTTCCCCTCCCAATATTTCATTGTTTTGTTGTAAAGATTTTTTACTTTCTTGGTTAAACTTATTCCTAGGTATTTTATTTTCCTTGTTGCTATTATAAGTTAAATTTTTAATTGTCAGATGTGTGTGCTCACCAGAAAGAGGCACATAGAAAGAGCAAGGAAGAGGGAGTAACCACTCCCAATGTCACATTCACCCATTTGGGGTGTCTCTCAAGCTGTGAGGAACAGGACGAGGGAGTAACCACTCCCAATGTCACATTCACACGTTTGGGGTGTCTCTCAAGCTGTGAGGGACAGGATTTGAACTCTTCAGTTAGCATATGGGATTCAATTCTCTTAACTAGTAGACCGTAGAGCCAGTCTTGGAATTCTATTTTGGAGGCCAGCAGATGGCATAGCAATTATGTCATTAGACTCCCACATGACCGATCACAATTCAAGTCCTGAAGCTGGTGGCTTGAAACTCACACCAGGCACATGTGCATATATACGGTGGCTTGAAACTCACAACAGGCACATGTGCATGTATATATGCTAGGATCCCAGGAGGATAATGAAAGAGAAGGGATTCCAAGTCGCCCTTCACCAGGGGGTGATTTCTCATTTTCCCTCTCTCTCTTGTCTCTCTCTCTCTCCAGCGAGCACATACATCTCTAAGGCAAAGACCACTTAAAAAATTGCTCTTTTTTAATTCTTGTTCATCCAGTTAATAATTGATGTGCAAGAAATCTACTACATTTGTATGTTTATTCTGTATCCTGCAATTTACTGACTTCAGTTTTTTTTGCTT